CGGCTGTTCACTAATCGGCTGCACAAGGCAAACATCTACCCACCTCGAATAAAAAAAAAACTCAATTTAATGAAATGCATTGATCGAGCTTTAATCAATGTTAATGATAGTTAAAATTAAACCTTTTAATATTCATAGAGGCAAGCCCCAGGTCACAGGGCTCCTCACGGCGAGGGGCCGTCTCAAACACTAATTATGACCAATTATAGTATTGAACCCCATCGAGGAGACCAACATCTGCCTTACTAGTTTATATTATAACGTCCACCTTTGAAGAATTAATTAAAACTCATTAGTGAACTATCAAATGAGTGAGACTGAATGTCAATAATCAATATAAAATTCGTTTTTAACATAGAGACAATTTAAAATCAAGCAATTTATAAGTTTTATGCCAAACTAGTTTGAATATTATCGAAGAAGTATTTATTTTGTCAATAACTACCATTAATTTTGATTGGTAACGGTCCTCCGAGCCCCCGCGAGGCCTCTCGTTTGATAACCGACTAGACAGACCGACAAAATTCTTATAACATTACAAAAACATCATAATTGTGTGACTCAGAAGACTATCACTTAGATTTCAGTCGTTCACATATAGTTATAGAAGGGAAAGATGGTTCAAATTTTGAAATACACTTGTGTTTACAACCCACAATCTTCCTTCCATTCTATTGAAATTTTATCCGTATCATCGTATCTTATTTTTGCAAAATAGATAGGTTATAGAATATAATCAATTGTAATTTAGCGATTCACAAATTGTTAGCTATAAAACTATACAATTTTTCTAGTTCTACTGAAGCCACCGCCCTGCAGCAACCGGTTCTAACACAGGTGCCGCTGTTTAATTCGTATTTGCTACAAGTCACTCTGTTACTAAACGACGGAATAGTAAAAAAATCTTTGAAAAAAAAAACTTCAATTACAGTAACATCCGTAACATGACCATCTCATTGCAGTACAAAATAGTGTAAGCATAATGCGCTGTATACAAATTTCAAATGGGTATTGTCCGCCGGCAACAATGCGGGCGCCATTCACAAATTCAACAAAGCAACCCAAAAACATGATCAGACTACAATGAAACGAAAAAAAAACCGATCACGAAAATCGAGTTGAAGTTACTTGTGGTGGCGGGCAGGCAGGCGTACCTGCGTCCGCGCAGCCGCCGCGCCCCGCGCCCCCCCACCTCTCAGGCCGCCGCCTGCGCGGCGCGACACGGCGCCGGCGCCAGCCAGCCGACAAGCAATTATGGCTAAATAAATATCGGCCATGCCGCCGCCTCCGACGCGTCGCTCGGTAACATCAACAGATGGATTCTTATACTGGTATATCTAGACGACATCATTAAATTTCGGACCCCACTCGTAATGGCCCGGTGAAATGGCGTGTGGGCACCGAAATTACTTGTAAATGGTGGTTGTTCGTCGTCAATAATGTTTTAACCGCTTTAAGCGTCATGCTTTTGAGTTTCGACTGTGGGTGAGTAAGTTTAGATTAGAGTTAATGAACTGGGGTGCGTACAATCTTGGTCCCAGTCGTGTGGCGTCGCGTTGACGCCTGAACTCGATAAGATAAGGATCCCCTCCTCTCTCCCGCGTTTGAAAACTCTACACTTGAAAAAAACATTCATAATGTATAATTTTTTGCCGAATGACACGTCGAATTCCAACATCTATGTTGTGATTTGCCAAATTAGGAGAGCGCAAAACATCTCACTTCAACCCAGTCTAATAAATTGAATGCATAATTCCAGTATCAAATAGGCAAATGTTATAAATCTCTTGTCAATAAAACAAGTTGACCTGAATTTCAAATTAAAAAGAAATCAAATACGATTGACTTCATTAAAAAAACTTTTTTCTTAAATAAAACGTTAATGTAACAAAAACCAAGTACCGAATTCACGATATAAACAATACTGATCGTTCAATGACGAACGGTGGCTCTATACATATCCGCGACGGCGCCGAGACAATTACAACGGCAGTTGTGTATGCAACTCGCAAACAAATATGATAATGTCAGTTAATCTGCACACAAATCAAACGTCGTCGGTCGCCGAATAAGCGGCGTCAGTGACAGCGTCTATATTTAGTCTACGGGCTGTGGGAACCGCCGCGAAAGCAGGCAAAAACATTGGCGACGCGGATCCGCGACGCGACGTCAAAAAAACAACACAGGTGAGGTCCGCACTGTATGGGCCACTTCCTATCAGGTGTCGAAGGCGATTTCCTATACATCCGTCAAACCGCCTGATACGATCAAATTGTAATTGAGGTTATTTGTAAAGACAAGGGTAAACAACAAAATTCTTTAATCTGATTTTATCAATTAACTTAATAATATCACGAAATCAAAGAAAACTGTTTGGACAACTTCCTTATAAAGAATACTATGGTATTGGTTGCATATTAAAGACAAAAAATTAATAAGCGATAAATTACAATAATCATTATATTTGCTGAAAGTCTAACCAACACTGCAAAGTACAATACTTAATCTTTAGTAAGTAATTAATTAACGTAGTGAAATTATCGAAGACAAGACGAATCGCCCACTAATGTAAAAAACACTAGTCTTGCTCAGTAGGCGACCGAGTAACTGATTTGACCAATTTGACTTCCATTTATGGCCGGTCCAAAGCGAAAGTGAGGCGTAATGCAAGAAGACAAGATTTACTGTAATACAATACATTTTTGTGTTCTTTTTTTATACTATTTTGTCATAGGTTAGTAAGCATTTTCACACCAAACAAATACCTTATTTATTGCAATAACTGACAATTTAGATTCTGTGAAATAAGTAATAATCCTTTATTTTGTAAGTCGGCGTATGTCGACCCGTGACTAAATGTAGCAGGTGGTGGCGCCAAATGCCCAGGGTATCTTTAATATATAATCCGTATATAGATGGGTAGGCTAGATGTGTACTTTTTAGAATAAGTATGGTCTTTCCAGCATTCTGAAAATCTTGTGGCGTGACAGGGTGACAAAAATAGTGGAAGCTATTCCAAAGGATGAGCAAAGATCTCAAACTTATAAATACCTTCACTTCAATTAACGCAAACCGAATTATTTTGGTTATATGATGAAGAATTGCAAATTTAGAATGCTACAACTTATAATGGAAGGTAAAATTATTTCAAAGGAAGGATTCAAAGATCTTTGATTATTTATTAATCTTCTCGTTTTTGTTCAATAAATTTACAATCTTCTAAATTCCCTTAATAACCATGAATCTTTCAGTTCGAAGAATTCACTGATTGGAAAGGAAAGTCTATTTACTGACAAAAATATATGTATATAATTATTAATTTATATGTCTCATCTTTCCTAAATGAGGGTAGATATTATGTTAACTAACTGAAATTCATTGAGAATTATTCAATTATTTTACACGTTTTCGATTCAAAATGGTATGTATTATGGTTACTTTTTACATTGTACTTAAATTTTTACTCATGTGTGCCTTTTATCACGTACAACCAAAGTTGAATATAGTATTGAACGAGCTGCTAAGAAGAGCATAAGAAATGAAGTAGGTACTCATTAATATTCATATTTTCCAGTCTTTCTTTTTAATTAATATGCTAAAAGGCATTGTCAACACACCTACGTGCTGGCTCCTAAGTAACATACTACTGGTGTGGGCGGAAGTTTGTAGGCGATTTGAACTGCGCGTGAGTCGATGTCATGGCCACTCATTAGTACGGATATAATAGTTGCACAATGATCATTTTATCTTTATTCTTCTTCATAAGCGTATTCTTCTTTAAAATAAACTGCAATTTTTATATATTTTTTAAGTTCCGATTATAAAATTTTATAATCGCAATGAAACCACAAACCAATAATAGAATTAGATGATCCATCTGCTATTTATATTGCGGAAAGACACGAATAGCCTTCGAGAAATGAAAAGGAAAAAGAACGTGCATATTTATCCGACAAAGTCTGTCGGCGTGGTAGCGCCATTGCCTGGCGAATTAAAAAGTTAACGGGTAGCGCGCGCCGTGCGTCGCGGCTTGCCGGCGCCAGCGCGTCGTGACCTTGTCTGCTTATCGCGGACGAGTGACCCTCGGCGCGGTAGATTAGGTGATAGGTACGTTACTTTTCCTACACCCCTACACTACAAACATTCGCGATCGACACATACAAATCACGCCATATTTAAATCATATGAATGACCTTGAAGCGGTTTTGTCAACAATCCTGATTGTAACTTATACTATGGCAAATTGTATTGTTGTTGAAACGATTTGGAATGATTTTAAAGTTTAATAAGCGTGTGACCTTTAAAATTTTATTAAAACAAAACTAAGAAACAACATAACTGATGTCAGCTCTAAAAATAGATTAACGGACGGAAATGTTTACACTACAATCTACTATGGGAATAGAAATACACATTGGAAGAGCAAACTCGAGAATAAAATATGAAATTGTTTAAGGAGCCTATGTGACAGTGATCACACAGGACTATGATATGACGTCATAGCTAACGTAATGATAGATACGGAAACAAACAGTAGCGATAAATACACTGATAACATTTGGCACTGATAAACTCGATGCAAACCACGCGATGTTGGCAACGGCTTGAGTGAAATAACACCGGCAAAATTTGATATATTGCATAAAACAGAAACACTATCACTCGCAATCTCAACAGAACAAGCGATATCACGTAGCCCTGAGGTTAGATTCCAAATCTAAACTGCACTTTCCGAAATGAGGTTAAGTTCAGGTGACGAACGTGCGATAACAAACGTCACATATAAAAAGACTTTAAGAAAATTCCAGTTGAGGAATCACAATTCCAGATATCCTCATTTTCGTAGCGCAACGACACCGTAAGCATAAAATCCATTTCAATGAAGCGCACATTCTATTTTGAAAATACACTGCGATAGGCGAGCGCACAGATTCGACACTCGTGTTTACTTCCATGCACTTGTTGCGCGGGTCAACGGCCGAGCGGCACTTCTAACGTACCGGGCTTGCAGAGGCGGCTCCAATGGTAAGGGTTGCAACACTGCTGCTCGGTGCAGTAAGGCGAGCGTCTGAGCTCGCCGAGGTCTCGGAGGTCGGGGAATCTGAAGGCGCGAGTGACGGCGAGGCGCAGTGCCGTGGCGTGGTGGCCGGCCGGCACGCAGCTCCCGCCGCCGGCGCCGGCGTCTATAGCGCGCGCCAGCCCCCGCAGCTGATCCTCGGGCACGGAGGGCGCGCCGGCCGCGGCCAGCTGCCGCCGCAGCGCGAGTCTCCGGAACATCACATGCCGCCGACGCGCGACCGCGTCACGAGCCGCGCGCCCTCCCGCGCCACGCGACACTACACTGGAGACACGTCATCGCTCGCGGCGTGCGGACACTCGACTGATGGACGCCCGTCGCGGACGACCGGTGCACGGGTGCACTGACGCGGCCCGGTGCGCACCACCTGTGCGATACTATTACCCTGATGCTAATTCCCCCCCACACGATTTTTATTTCTTTTAATAATAATATGTAGTAAATTAAAGAAAATATTTCTTATAATAAAAGCGATAACGTGCTTTTATCATCAAATGAATAACGTAATAAAAGTTTGAAAGTTAATTAAAAATAAAACCCTTTTTAAAGTTGTTTTATAAATTAGAAAATACGTACATAATGTAAAAAATATAAAATCTTAGATTTGGGTATAAACATGGAGATAAATACCTACTTAGATGTTAAAACTAATACTTTAAAAAATCCTAAGTCCATAGATATGTATAAATACATTAAAACTATTGTAAATACATTAATAATCGTTACATTATTATAAATAACAAATCGCTAATTAATTACATACCTAGCTATTTCCTAACTCATTTGCTATTTGGACCCTTGAAGTTAATCGAAACAGCAATATAATAGAATAAGTTAACCATTTCAAAAATTATTGCTCGCAGTCTTCAATTTTTAAACTTGATAGAGCTCCCTAAAATTTGGCAGTGCGTATAGAACTTGCCTCCCACATCGGGGAGGCGAAGAGCGGCGGGAGGCGCGGGTGGCGCCACCGCCGGCGTCAGGTGTGCGCGCGTGTGTGAGTTCGGCGCCACCCGCCCGCCAGACATAATGCATTGCCATAGAAAGGACAACAAACGCATTTGTATTGCATACCGACTGCGAGCCTCTGAGAGGCAAAATAACACCTCGGAATAAATACGTAAAGATATTAGAAGCCTATTTGCAACACCTTAACTGGATCATGTACTACTACATGTAAGACCTTGTCATACATCTAAGTACAAATACAAAAAAAGCTATAAAGAAATATTGAAGTACATGTTTAGTAGTAAATAGTTGTAGTGATATAATACTACCTTAACACAATTACTAAAAATATTTAAACATGATAACAGTTCTATATAGTCACAACAACTTATCTAATTAAAACCAACTTGCTTTAGACTCGAAACATTTAGTGATTTCCTGGACTTTAATTTTATATTCATGGTTACAACAAACGGTAATAATTCATAAGGTCCAAAATAGTCCTTAATTATTTTAGTATCGCTTAGGTAGTAATACCTATATCATGTCTCCTCAGTTTCGGAGTTCAAATATAAAATATCAAATTGACAAACGTAAATGAACTATATATATTTAACTCACTGACAGTTGAAAATTCGCCACAGTAAATAGAATATGTTCGTCACTATCAATCAAACATTGTGTGGGCGCGTTAATTGCGTTCCTAATTGCCACACCTAACTAATTGGCATGATCAGACATGACGTTAACAACTGTTATTTTAGTATGAATAAATATATAGTACGTTATAAAACCTCGTTTCTTAGTAAAAATACCAATAAAGTACAGAGTAAGGTAAAATCATACAAGCTGAGCACGCCAATCCAACTAAATTCAAAACTGGGGCCTATTGAAAGTTAGTCATTTACTTTTTAAATGTATATCTCTTTGGCTATAGCGCATAGTTTGACGTATTTTCTGACAAGATGGTGGACCTGATAAATATAAGAGTATAAAATTAAAGCCACCATCGGAAGAAACAAAACAAACTAGTGGTATATAATCAACCAGTTCTTACAGGTATTTACAACATCGAACTATACAGAAGATCTAACCTTTAAATATGTGTAATCAATTTGATAATCTTAAAATAAACAACCCAAACCCTAAAAAAATATAAATTATTGCACTGCAGGCACTGATGCATTTACCTTAATAAGGAAAAATAAATTAAATTTGGGACTGATCATTATCATTAATTCTCACGACTTTTATGCGATTCTGATTGATATGCATGTTTGTTTTAAAAGCCGTAATGTTGTAATTTACGACCATGTTATAAATTTCCGTTTACCAGGTAGGTAAAAAATCACGAAGTCTTAATTAATTTAATTACTATTAATTTCCTTATTAATCTGTTTTGATCTTAAACATTAATAATAAAATAGAAAAAAGCATAATGTTCTTCACATGTTGAACAATTTAAAATATTCAATTGTAGTAAACGCGGTATAAATTTGGTAATCAGAAATACATTCTGCGCGTCACATAATCTATGCCAGTTCGTCGTTCGGAATGCGTGGTCTAAAAGACACATGACATGAAGTTAATAAATAATCCCGCACCCGCAAGATAATGCGTCCAAATCATAGCATAATTAGGTACACGTAACGTGTCGGTAGCGTATACGTACGAGACGTTAAATTCTCCCAACAAACCAGCGATGGCCCCGCCGCATATGGAAAGGTCGCCGGTTCAAAGCGAAAGTATTGAATTCCGGTACGATGTGAAAAATTAAAAGTCCAATCTCGTTCTCTAAAGGACATCGCCTTTAACACCGTGAGAAGTCTCAACTATCACACGCTTGATATGCACGCTAGCATATTCAACGGCCTTTATATATAACGCATCCAAATTACTAACAAGTGTTTACTATTTAAGTTTCGATTAGTTTCTTTTTTCGTAAAAGCTCCTTCATTAAAAAAGGCGAATGCATTGTAAAAAAATATAAAGAAAATGTTCCACACACCAATCTAATTACGCAAATTGATTCTAGGAAAGCGTATTTTGTAGAAAAAAATAACAAATTAAAAAGAAATATAAATATGTATTTTTACTTTATGACAAATAAAGGTTTAAACATTTACCGCCAACCAAGGACAAATCAGACTTTCAAAACTATGAATCTATTGGCAATAAACATAACTTAATAATGGGCTTTTTGAAAACCTTATTATTATTACATTTAATAGTTACAACACGCATTATTCCGTCATTACCCGGATGTTTGTATACATTACTCTACCAAGTAACCATTTCGATCGTTGCAAACACTCATTTCTTACAACAACTAGGCATTAATTTTTACATGATTTTGGGGAGAGTGTCACTCGTATCTATGCTGCTATCTGAGCAAATCTAGGTGCTGTTCTTTCACAAGCAACACATTTCTTGTCATATAACTTAACAAATGATTTTACATTGGTAATCCAGTAATTACGTCTAATTATGTTAAAAATAAGTAACAATTTGCATGGATATTCATTTTGCGTATTGATAAGATCTTGCGCAGTCATTTTATTTCGCTTACACAATCAAACTTGGAAACTATTTTGTTCAATTGTGAATTATGGTATTAGCCATGTCTTTGCAAGCTTTCTTCCGTTATATTGGTCTTTGTCTATATGTCAATAAAAAAATCATGTTTTCACAATTGAATATTTTTGTAAATTTGCTTTTTTATTCTTGAAATTTATTTAATTTTCCCAGTCCCAATATTTGTTTTATCGTCACCGATCTTTATCTGGCGAGTTATAGACGAAAATTTACACACATCACACTAATAAGAAATGAAACTTCCAACGCCCTCTGCTAAAACTAATTTGACATTAAGACTTTATGAAAAAAAGGTTTAAACAAATATTTTCAATTAAAATTACAAAAATAATTAAAAAAGTGATAATGATAGCAGTTTCATTTTTCTCACAGCTTTCTAAATAGCTGAGTAAGGATGTTCAACTTTGCTACAATTGCGGTGCTCCTAAAGTTCATGTGTAAGTACAATTAAAACCTCCACGGAGGTTATAGAAGCAGCATATAGTTTCGAAACAGGCCGATTACATGTTGGTGGCAATTTCATTTACAGAGGTTGCGCACCTTGTTAATACATTTTGTTTCTTTGATTACCTACATATATAATTAATCTTATATTTCCTGTTAATCCTAATAAAACAGCGAGACACCGCTAGTGCACAATAGTGACTAAGCTATAGAAAGTTTGCTTCTTATGTTTGCGGAATTCGTAATAATAATCATACAAATAATAGGTATGTAGGTATCAATATACTTTTTTGGCATATCGCTTTTAAGTTAAACTAACCATTTTCCTGTGACTTTACCCTCTTAAATTATTGCCTCTCTCGCATAATGTAGCTTCCCGTTGGTAAAATATTTTTTCAAATTTGTCCAAAATTTTCGGTGCCTAATCAAATTCAATGCAAACAAACAATAAGATCTTTTCTCTTTATATAAACAGTATATAGAATACCATCTGGAAAGTGAACACCAAGCATATATTTTTTTTTATATATATATAAGTAGGTATAGGTACTTTTCTCAAGTCGTTTGTAACAGATTAAACTTACATTTAATAAAAAATATATTGACATTTAATAAGGTTAAGATAAAAATGATAATTAGTCACCGCTTAAAATGGAATGATGTAATCGTATATTTTATATGTTTACCCGCCGCCGCTGGTTAACACAAGCTTTTTTTTGTTATATAAGGTACATCGTTAATTTACATATAATATGTACCTACCTCCATGTGATATATTTAATAACCTCACAATCACAACAAAACATTATAATTTTGTTACATTCTATTAAATAGGCAAGGATAGTTTCCCTTGTAGTTTCGACACGTCCGTCTGTCCGTCCATTCGTCCGTCCCCGGTTTCACTCAAAAACTATTGGTACTAGAAAGTTGTAATTTAGCATAAGTATTGGCGTTAATTACGCCGGCAAAGTAGTAAAGTAAAATTGCGAAATGAAAAATCATTTAGAGTACCTTCCATTGATGTAAAATGGGGATGATATTTTTTGGCTTTTAAAAACATTGGGGCAGCTTTTTGTTTGAGTAATTCTTTTGTGACTTATCACTCTGTCCCTTTATCCCTGTGTATGCTAAAATTTTTAAAACTACTCAATGGTTTTTGATGCGGTATTTTTTCATAGATAGGTGATTCAAAAGGAAGGTTTTTTTATGTATAATACAAGACCACGCGCACTGGCGGGAAGCTAGTTAAGCTTTAAAGAGCTTATTGTCGTTTGAGTCAAGAATCCTTCCCCCCGTCCTCTACCAACTAAACAGTCTTTGCTAAACAAAGTTAAAAGGAAAACTATAACATTACGTTAGCTTTACAAGTTTATTAACTATGTATAATAAACA